TTATAGCTAACTTCACAAAATAACCTTACCACGCTAAATTTATTATTTTATTCCAATATACTGACACAGAATTTCTGATGGTTAAAACATCAGAAGAAACATACACAAATATAGTCGGTGGATGATTTATAGAAAAATGTTTTACTGAAAAAATCGCTTAATAGTCTATTCGTATACCCCTTATTTTAAGGTACTTGAATGCCTTTGGATTTTTGCAAAAAATTTAGTTAAAATATTCCAGGAAGAAAACACCTTAGCTCCGTTGATTGAGCGATAAGAAATTGATGAATTGCCATTGCATTGGCATCTAGTGATATTACTACGCTATTCTATCCGGATCTCCCTCATGTGTTCGTTAATCTGTTTCTTATCTTTCAGTCGACCGACTTCGCCCGGTTCCAGCGCCAGTTTGCGCTTTAACCCAAGCGCTATTTTTCAAGCCTTATGTAGCAAGTGCAGAATCGCCTCTCCCACAGAGCGCCTAGGCTCTGATTTCTCTGCTTGCAGATATTAGACATTGTTCTCACGAGCCATATATTTCATTAAACCCGTCTAACCTGAGCAAACTATGAATTGTTGGAGGGACTTTTATTTCGTATGAAAGTGTATGAAGAAGAGATTCGTAGATCAATCTCACCAGAAGAGAACGGCTAAATCCAGTTGTACTGTAGCCATTTGGCTTTTATACAATGTTCATGTTAACGCAGTCCACGAGTATCCTCCGTCGTTTCAGGTGAAAACGGGCTGAGTTTACGTCCATCATATGATGGACATCATCAGAGCTGGGTCTCGTTCCTGTAAAGATCTCACATTAGCACTAGGGCAAGAAGACCATCCGGCTCTACTTTACCTTTTATATAGACTCAATTAAGCAAAAGAAAATTAAAAACCTAGATATATATAGTGGTTTGGCTAACTAGGACGTGATTCATCCTTCCTCTTTTTGTGAGATCGACCTACGAATATCTTCTTCATGCACTTTTATACTAAATGAAAGTCCTCCCAACAATGTAATCTCAGAAAATTCATCGAAACACAGTTTACATTCGTATCTACAAACTGTACATGTCTATCTCTCGTTATCTGTTACCTCTCGAATGGATTTTTAGTCAATTTGGCTTTAATGACGAATTTCTCTGACCATTTGGATTATGTGCCTCCCTATTCACATGGCCGCCAGGCCCCCAAAGTTGTAACTATTTCTTCGAGCAGACTACACTCACTGAGAACGTTTTCGCTTAATCTCCGAAACTTTTTCTTTCCTTCCTTGCGATCATTTTTCCTCTGGCTAGCGATAGATCCTTGATCCAGGCGTCTCATTTTTGCTTGTCTTGTCGTATCCTTGTTTTTTTGAGTATGCTTAGGCAATTGACAAAGTTATCGTTACTCTTCCTTCTTCCAATCTTCTGTTCATTACATTTCTTTCCCCAAGGATGTCAATAGCTTCTCTAATCTTCTGTTTTCCTTGACGTAAGGACTTGCAATATGCTCTTGCTTAGCTCCAATTTTGGCGAATAACTACATGGTTAAGTTTTGCCTTCGCCTTGGCATTATTAATATCTGTGGGAGTCGAACTATTATAGTGCAGCATGAAATCTCGACACCTTAACCACTGTCACATTGCCACGACTGCCATTGGGTACCAGAGCAGATATAAATTTCAAGGAAGGCCGGGCATTTTCCGATATCACATTCTGTGGTGGGATTGTCGATGAAGCAAACTTATATTTTCTATAGAAATCGACGACATTATTTATATTTCGTTTTGAATAGGTTTTCAAGACTACCAGCTTATCAGATTTATGAGTTTTGTTCAGTCCATCTTGGATGAGAACACCTTTTGGGAAAACGAGGCTATGTGAAATTCAATGGAAGCGTCAGCTTTTCTCATATCACTGCTGGAAAAGTCAACTACCAGTCAATCATCGTCTTAAACGAAATAGGGCGAGCATGATTGTTACATTCTTTTTTCCTTGGGTCATTAAGCCTTGATGATCCGGAGTTTACGTTAATCTTTTTTCTAATTACTGAGTTATGACTGCTTTTTCGTACACTGGTTAACATACATACACACAAAGACACACCCGAGTATAAGTGAATTAAACATACCTTTCAATATCCTTCTATATCTTACATTTTCTCACAATAAGTATATATATATCATATAGAAAAAAGCCGGTCAGTCTGCTTGACTTTGTGTTAACTTGAGGCTTTTGCAAAAATGGGTCCGAGCTCTCACAATGTTTATCATATGACGAACAAAAGTTCAATCCGTATTTGTTCGGAACTTTGGAGGTCTCGTGCACTGCATCAACCTGAACGTCGTATTACTGCCAAACATTTGCAGTCAACGCAAATCAGCTGGCATTTTCTGGTGAGATTGAACTTTGACTCCCTCTATTATGTACTTCCATATGAAATGAAAGCATTCACAACAATCTTATCTCAGGAGATTCTTCGACATCCTCATTTTCTTTGAGTTGTGTTTTAATTGGGTGCAAATAAATCGCAAAGCTTTAGGAATTGCACTACTTCTATTATTTGCAATAATCCCAAGTGGGGTTACCTTACGAATAATGGGAAGATCATAGGCATTTAGCGGTCTAATATCTCCCCGAACTAGTGCATTCATTTTACAGTTCAATTCTCCCTCTTTTCCACATTGTTGCTTTTCCAAGTTTTATATACTTCAGGGAGAAAATACTAACAGAATTGTTTAGTTTAATGGAGGAGTTCCCAGTGAATACTAGAAGGGACGTTAAGTTACAGGTTCTTTCATTAATAGCCACACAAAAGTACCATGTATGAATAGAAAGTAATATTGTCATAAGAAAACTAAACTAAAATTATTAATTCGTGTTGAAGACAGACATAAGAAGGGTAGTGATATCTATGGCTAGGGTAGATTGTGCAGAATCATTCACCTCAGTAACGCACTGACTGTCAATATACAAATCACTATCATGGATGCGAGTTAACAGACGCTCGCTTTGCCTTGGGAGCTAAACATGTCGTAGAACTCAATAATTGTTAACGTTTGGCGCCTTATATCCTACCTTGTGTTCATTTTATTCCTTCATTTTCTATACTTAACCTGTCTAGGCCATTTTAGATTTCCGAGTAATTTTTCCTTTCCTTAAACTTATACATGCTCAACATCTATCGCTTCATTAATCCCTATTATATTGTCGCCTCATCGCAAATTCATACACTTATTATCCATGAGTTAACCACATTTTTCACAGTCTTGATTTTTGTCCTCCAAGTAGTCTCGCACATTTTACTGCGCACATTTGTCGCCTGAAAGCTTTGATATCTGCTAGAAGAATCGGTTAAGCCCTACTTTCCCTCAAGCACATAAACCTGTTAAACTCTGATACAATCCCTCTTGCTTTTTATATAGATTTTCAGTTAGCGCACCATCTTTAATTTTAATGACTAGTACTTGTTTTGCTCATCTACATTCATAAACTTGATTTTGGGAAAGTCTTGTTTGATTTGTGAATCTTTGTCACCCGTGGCTGTGGTGGAGTGACACTGTGCTATCATGATGTTCACAACCCGGTTTCAATTTACGTTTGGGGTGCTGATCAGATCTAGACGATATCTAAACTTTATTCATCCTTTATGAGAATACCTTTTGTAGAGATAAGGCTAATTGAGGTGGAATCATGAAGCCTACTCGTAGCATTGTGACAAAAACTCCACTGTCTGACCTTAAATAACCTTTTGGACATACTTCACTCACGAAATGCGGTATTTCCGATTAATTACGTTTTTTTACCTAAAGCCGAACCCAATCTTATGCTAATCCCTGACTTTTATCTACTTTATCATCTGTGTTAGCTGAGGCCACAAAAACATAAACCTTGATTCAAATGTTTTCAGCAAATTTAAATATTGTAAATAAATAGGTTTTCCAGACTGCCGGTAGATCATATATATGAGTTGTGTTCACCCTATTTCTTTTAAGTTGATGAAGGACTGGTAGTTGATTCTTCCCACAATGATATGAGTATATCTGATATTTTCCATTGAATTTCGTATAGCCTTGCTTTCCCAAAAGGTGTTCTCATCTAGGGTGGACTGCAGTTTCGATCTCACATAGGTATTATCAACACCCCAAGCGGGAGTCGAACCATGAAAATGCAACGTATAAGCTCGACACGTTAACAACTACGCAACATTGCCATGACTGCTCTTGGGTAACAAAGTAGATATGCATTTCAATAAATCACATTCATATCACATTCTGTGTTGAGATTGTCTAAAAAGTAAACTTATATTTGCTATAGAAATCGACATCTTTACTTTTTTCGTAAACACAGAATGTGATATGGGAAATGCCTGACATTCCTTGAAATTAGCATCTGCTCTGTGACCCAAGGGTACTCGTGCAAATATGGCGTAGTGGTTAAGGTGTCGAGCTTACGAACTGCAATATCATGTTCGAATTCCGCTTAGGGCGTTGATAAGTCAAATGTGAGGTCAAAACTGTAGTTCACCCTGGATGAGAACACCTTTAGGGAAAGCAAAGCTATGTGAAATTGAATGGAAAATATCAGCTCTATTCATATTGCTGCAAAAATTAATTGCCAGCCCTTCATCACCTTAAACGAAATAAGGTGAACACAACTTATATATTTAAATATTTTAGTTTCCTACATCTCTTAAACATGCAAATCTTGTTGTATTCAGATCGTAGATATGACGATCAAAATGGTGTGGCCTTCTGTTTGATCGCAATCTGTTGCAGTTAGCTTAGTTTTGTTAACTATTCGTCTGCTTTCTTTATTGGTACACGCCCATAAGTACCTAGTTCATAATCTTATAGTATCTTAACCTTTTATTTTAACCAGGAAATTGTTGCTGTCTGTCACTTTCCTGATGAGTATGATCACCCTCCTAAAAGAAACTCACTCATTGTAGAAGCACCACTTCACAGTGGAGAGACTACAAAAGAAAAAAGTGATTGGCAGAGTATGCGTAGACTGGGTATTATGAAAACTAAAGATCGTAAACAGAATGATTCCTCCGCCTTTACGCACCATCTTGCGCATCTTTCAGCTCAAACTCAGCAATACCAATCACCCGGCTTTCTTCAAAGGCAGCACCTTCAACTTCGGGAAGACTTGCCTCAACATCCCCACGTGACGGTCACTTGCAAACTCTTCTACACTGTTGTCTTGCGCCGCCCTGACGAGGCTTTTGCCTCACTTGGGGCCAGACTATTGCCGCCAATATATCCCAGGCAGATTCTGTCTCGTCAGCAGAGGTATCGGATTGAGGCACTTAGTAACCAGACCAAGCCTCGTGTACCAGGATATTTGGCAGCTGATCGAGGTATCCTTGAGAGAAAAGTCTCCTTGGACGGCCTTACCCAGTCGTTTGGTCTGGATAAAGCAGATAAAAGTCTACATAATGTTCATGGAACCAGACAAATAGATGGTAATTGGCTCAAGAGACTCAAACACCCAATTATCTGTCATGCATAACAACATAGTTTCATAACAATATATATTTATAAAAATAGATTCATTTGGCAAACAAGATATCTCTTTAAAAAGTTGCTTTCGTACATATTATTATTTGCTTGTTTTTCCAGTATTTAAATCAGAAATCTTGGGAATCTTCGCAACGATGCTGTGATTTGCGTGCCTGAATGAAGATAATGGTGATTATAAATTCATAAGTAAGTAGGGTTTCGAGACTACCAGTAAATCAGTGTAATGAGATGTATTCACCCTATTTCGT